ATCATCTTGAAGAGACGAAGCGAAAGGCACCGATATGAGCTCCTAATTTTACAGTTTATGAGACCTTCAATTTGTACGTGGCCGGAGGTTGTAGATAACCAACGTGTCATCTCTCAACCAATGACAAGACGCCATTTGTTTTTTTCAAATATGTTTTTTAATTAATGATCTGGTGGATTATTCACTAATTACATATCATGCGCAGCGCGCTAGATCCCTTGGATTTGATTACTTACGCATTTTGACATTGATCAAATGGTCTACATCTTTTTGGTTTTATTTTTATTTTCTGATTTTATATTTTAATTGTTTTAAACTTCAAAAAATCATAAAAAATCTATTTCAACTTCTAAAATTTAGAAAAAATTCTCAAAAATACTTTTGATTTCTCTCTTTCTGATTTTTATTTTTTCACATTTTTATTTTATGATTTTGTATTTTTTTATGATTTATTTACTTTATTTAAATTGTTTTAATTGTTTAAAAATATTTTTCTTGATTTTTAAATTCTGGAAAAAAATATGGAAAGATCCAATGACCTCTTGACAAATATTAGTGACCTCATTTTATTTTTATTTTTGATTTTACTATTTCTTAAAAATTGTGGTTTTATTTTCTTATTTCTTTAAACTCTAAAAATAGTTTCTAGTTTTGAAAAATTCTAAAAAAATTTGTCAACGCTTACTGACTCATGTTTGACCTATGACTATTTTTTTTAGGATTTTTATTTGGTGATTTAATATACTTTGTGTATTTTACCAATTATTTCCCTTTTATTAATCATTTAAATATTGTTTTATTAAATATTATTTTATCATTTTTATTTGGTCCTGATTTGGGGTGTTATTTTGGGACAAATTCCTCAACCTCATTAGATCTTGGGTTTTGATAGGTTGAAAAACCAAATCCACCAAAATGGATGAATGATGTTGATGATATTTGAAACTCTAATTTCATTTGATACATCCCCTCCCTCTTCATCTTATCCCTTTCTTACTTCTGTTACATATTGTTGGAGAATAATCTACATATCATTTCTCTAACATATGATACATAAATTGCGATTGACCGGCCTCAAAATAGGTGTGACTTCTACATAAGTCCACTTACGATTGCTTAACATAGCACTAAATTTGTCCCGATTCAAAAAATGATCATTCGTGGCCCAAACCTATGTTTTCAAGCCCAAGTATGTTGAATTTGAAACTTTGGATCCAATAACTTTGAGGTTTATTGTTAGGAGGCTTTGATCTTATCAATCCTCTAATGAACTTCATGAACTTTCGTCTAAGTGAATCATTTGAACATCTTTGATCATATGTGATTGCCTTGAATACTTGAAATGAATAATATACTTGACAAAAAAGCAAATGAAACTTGTTGTTGAGAAGCTTTGATTTTATCAATCTTCTAATGAGTTTTCAAATGCAAGTTTCAAGATGGTTATTCAACTAACCTTTAACTTCTAATTCACTAACAACTGACTTTACTTTATGCCTTTTATTTTATGCCTTTACTTTTATACACCATTTACTTTAGCATTTATATTTCATGTTATTTTTATCTTTTCTCGCTTGAGCATTTATCTTTATGTCATTTTATCTTTGCTCACTGAGCATTTATCTTTATGTCATATTTTTTATTTTGCTCATTTGAGATTTTATTTTCTTTTTGAAGACACTTAATAATCAACTTGAACATTAAAAGCTTTAAGGTTATTTGGACTAACTGGTTATTGTCCTTGGTATTGTTGAGTTGTGGACCTCTTGGACTTAGGATTAGAAGCCTTGATACTCTGAGACCTTGTGACTCTGTTGTTATTTTGTCTGAAGTTCTTGGAGTTTACCTCAAGACATTGGGTTGATTTTCTTTGTGTGCAGGTTATTCTGGTTATATGCTTTGTTTGTGATTAAGAATTCCTCTGTATACAGTCGTTCTTTTTCTTAGCTTTTACCTTATGCTTTAGGATAGTCCCTTTATCTCCTCCTATCTTCTTTAATTTCAAAAATCTTCTCCCTCTTTTTCAAAACTCTTCTGGTTTTCTAACTTGAATCGCTTTCATAATAAACTTGGACTTAGGTCCATTCATTTTCAAAATCTTTTCTTAATCAAACTTTAATCAATTTAATCATACTTTGACATCTTTCTCAAGACTAAAAGTCACTAACCTCATTCAAACCATTTTGTCACTTTAGCTTTTTATTTTAAAACTTTTTCTCAAAAGATTATACTCTTGTAGTGATGCAAGCTACTATACTTCTACGATATATAGGGAAGTGAGATATTTTCCACTTGGGTGTTGAGTAAGGCTTTGTTGATTTTAAAATCCAAGCTATATCATCCACTTTAAGATGATGCAAATTCTCCTTTCTCATAATCGTAGGTAGTAAGTATGTTTTCCACTCAGATACGACGATAATGTCTTTTCTCTTAAAATTAACCAACACATTTGTATTTTAGAATTTTTAAAGTGAATTATGAGTACCCGGATCCCCTATTGCACAAAAGGTGGTACGTAGGCACTAAAGATTCGCAACCGCGCCATATGCAAAATTGTAAAAAATACTTCTTTTCTCATCTCCACCATTTATTTTTGTATACACCTTTTATAGAGAAAATACACAGATTTTCAAAGAGGTTCATGCAGATTACCGTAGATGTTTAAGGTCCTAATACATTCTCTTTGCATAACCAACCCCCGTATCTAGATTCTCTTCCCCTCTTTTGAGTTTATTCGCTCTTTTCCCATTTCCTTTGGAAACAATAAAGTGCAATGCCGATTTTTATTTGATCTGTGCGAATTAAGTCAATCAAATGACTTAGTCTCAATATTTCTACCGCTACATATTGAAAAGTCAATACTTTCACTTGAGTATAATATTGTAGGACCCAATGAAAAAGAAGTGTGAGTGCAACTTCACTATTAGATGTTTTGCATGATGTCAAAACTCAGAAAGATAGCATTTCCGTATGGTGGACGATATCCTTATGTCTTGTGGCACTCCTCTGCACTATAGGTCTTAGGAATTATTAAAAAACATATTGAAATTGATCCAAATTATTGAAAAGTCATTTTTTCATAGTTTTTCGTTACATTTGTCGACACACTATAGTTTCAGGTCGACACATGTAACTCATTTTTAAAGCCTGTAGCTTATGTAAGTCTTAGGTCGACACATGCATTCATACAGGTCGACACATACTGAAAGAATTCTGAAATTGCAGAAATTTCTATTTTATGTGCCGACACTTCCGTTTTTCATGTCGACACATCTACTAGCGTTTTTAAGCTTGTAGCCTCTGAGTTGTTCAGGTCGACACATGACATTATTTCAGGTCGACACATACGACCTAAATACAAAGTATGTGTCGTCACACACGAGTTTTAGGTTGACACATCCTGTTTGATTCAGTCATGTTTTAACTTCTTTTTTATTCCAAATTTGCCCTTATTGTCCTAATTGTCTCACAACTATAAATACTCATTCATTCATCATTCACAACTTGATGATACCATAAAATTAACCTACATTTCTTCTTCTTCTTCTTCAACCTTCCAATCTATGCATACACACCAATATTACATTGTGATGATGTTCCGCTAGGGTGTCATCTAGACGAAGAATTATGAATTTCCAATTGGTTTGGATTGAGATTTGTAGGGGTCTTCATCCTGGAAAAACCATCGATTTTGTCCTCCAAAATCATTTGTTGAATTGGGGGTTTTCGTGCAAGATCGTGCGAAGGATCGTCCACGTGAAAAATCCCTTGAAGTGTTTGAAATCTTTTCAATGAACCTTAGAGTGGTTCAAATCTTTTTAAAGAAGTAGCAAGAATTGGATGATAGAATCGGTGATCTTGTATTGATGGTTTGTAATCGGATTTACTCGAGCGAAAAATCTCTTAGAATGTTTAAAATCTTTGCAAGGAACCTTGGGTTTTTGAAATCCTTTGAAGGAAGTAGCTTAAGTGGCTAATAGGTTGCATTTATCGGTCTTGGTCTTGTTGAAGATCAAAAAAAGATAAGGGGTTGAATCGACACCAAACGGTTATGTTTTGTATAGTTTCTCTGAACACTTCTCTTGTAATCATATTTTTACAAAGTAAGAAATTATCCTAATTCTAAATTTGGAATTGGGGGGAGATGTAGCCATATCAAGAAAGATTGATGAACTTCCTAAACAAATCATTGTGTCTCTTTCCTTTTATTGCTTTACTTGCTTTAATCTTCATACATCGATTTTTCAAATAACATTGAATAATTTATCGACACGTAAAAATTTTCCGAAACTATTTTTTGTTTTGAATTGTGTGTTGAGTTGCCTATAATCACTTTTGATTATAAGTGCTTTTTCATATCAACACAACACAAAGGAAAATTCTGAAACTTTGATTGCACGCCAAGTGTTTGACAAATTGTTTAGCTTGTTTAATTCAAAGGAAAATTACAATGTTTTATCTCTTACTTTCATTTACTCTATATATGCAATGTGTTGAATGTATTATTTAATCGATTGATTTGTATAAAATTTCTTTTTGATTATTAAAGTTTAATTGCTTTGTTGATTAGCTTATAATCACTTTGATTGTAAGTGCTTTTGCATATCAACAAATCTCAAAGAAAATTCTGAAAAATTGACTGCGCACCACAAGTTAGATAAATTGTTATGTTATGTTTTTAATATGATTTCAATAAAAACAGAAAATCGTTATGTTGAATATTAAACGTTTAATTGAGATATTATTATGTTGGTTGATTTTATCATTATGTTAATTTCATATGGCTCGTGCATATCCGAGTTTTCAATAACTAGGTTCGTTTAGACTACTATGTTGATCTAGGCCAAAATCCTTCCGCTCAACATTGTTTTTCAAATAAGTTTTAAATAATATTTTTGAAAGGTAATTTTTATTTGGGGATCTATTCACCCCCACTAGATCCGGTGTCGTAGTCTAACAAGAAGAAGAATGTGTTGCATTAGAAAATGACAAGGTAGGGAATGATGTGCAAAAAGATAATTTTGAATGAAGTGAGTAATGTAGTAAAAGACATATTGGAGGAATTGAATAATGGAGTAAAAGACAAGTTAGATGGGATCAGTGAATTGGGTGAAGAGAGTAATGAGGAAGGGATTACTGTTGTAAAACAAGATTTTGTTGTTGATGGGACCAATGAGTTGAATCATGGAGTGGATGAGGGACTTAAATGTAATCGGCAAGAAGATGTAGGACTTGACTATAACCATAAGGAAGATGTTGGAATTGACTAGAACCAGGAACTGGATGAGGTATTTAACTGCAATTAGGAAGAAGTGGAAAGACTAGAATGTAACCCAGAGGAAGATGTTGGATTTGACTTCAATGAGATAGTGGATAAGGGACTTGACTGCAACCAAGAAGAAAATGATAGACTTGGCTGTAACCAGGAGGAAGATGTTGTCTTTGGCTTCTATCAGAAAGTGGATGAGGAACGTGACTGCATCTAGGAAGAAGATGAGGGACTTAACTGTAACCAAGAAACTGGATATGCTAGTGAAGATGATGCTTTGGAAATAACCTTTGGGGGTTTATAAGATGATATTGGAAATTAATAAAAAGATTTCAATTGAATAAGTGTTAGAAGAGAAAACAGGGGAGGATCAAAGTAAACAAAATAGGAAAGGAAAAAAGTAAATATAAATGAAAAGGAAATGGTAAGAGTAAGGGTAAAAGGAAGGGGAAAGGAAAAATTAAAGGGAAAGAAAAGGGGAAAGGGAAGGCGGGGAGATCAAGTAAACGGGTTGATGAAGAGAGTGGTTTGTGTGATGGTGTGAATGTAGAGGATGTGCCAAATGAGAATTTAAAGGATTGAATAACATTGATGAATATAACATGATGAGATACCTAATGAGGGTATGATCGTGAAAATAAAAATATTACAAAGGTTTATTTTCAAACCTTCAAGATTCCAAAAAGAATGGAAGATTACAAGTGGGAAGTAGGCGCATATTTTGCTATGAAGGAGGATTTTAAGAAGGGGATGAGAACATAAGTTATTCATTCTGGAAGGAATCTAAAATTTAAGAAAAATGATAACAAGAAGATGAGATTTATATGCATGGCAAGTTGTCAATGTGAGGCTTACTGTGCAAAAATACCACAAGAAGAGATTTGACAATTGAGAAAAATAGTTGAGAAACATATATATTTTCAACCATCCTTTTGTGTAGACAACCTCTTCCTTCAAATTTTAAAAAAAAATTTCTGCCTTTTAATCTTCAAATCTCTTTCATCAACAATTTCATGAGATAACCACTTGAAGAAATTAGTGGTCATTTTCCATGTGATTTCTATAATTTCTACCACCCCAAAACTTTTTCCCAAAGTTAACATTGTTCATATCACTCAGTATGAAGAACACATTCATCTTGACAAAAATACTCCCTCCTCTTATTTCTACGAATTACATATCTAAATATCCTAAAACTTAGCTTGTTTGACATTGAAGCACTGTTTGAATTCTTTGACATTGAAGGGAAACGCAACAACACAAACAAAAGAAAGATGAAGCTGATGCAAAAATAGGAAGATTTATTTTGAAGAAGATGAAGAACAAAGCCTAGAGACGAAGAAGCAAAGAATAAAGGTGAACGAATGAATCTGAAACAACATAAGTAGAAACCCTATTAGTGCAACTTTTGAGTCCTTTTTTCAATCTGATATTAAATTTTAATAACATGTCAGTCCACTTGATGATGCAGCACTGTCACATTTGCAATAACTTACTTTGCAATAACTAATTTCAAGTCAGTTTTTATTATTGTTTACTTGATGATTTTAGCGGAGGCTGTTAATACTTGTTTACTTCCATATAGTTATCAACTGTGTTACCGATTTTCATGCAAGTGCAACTAGAAGGCCACCTGCTATGCACTACTATTAACACAAGCAGTACCACCTCTATCCTATAACCACAATATTCCTCTTGACACTGTCTTACATCAGACTTCTCTCTACACTCTCCACTCATACTCTCTGTATTTTTTTGTTTTGTTATTGTTTTGCTAATTCTAAATGTGTGTTTCCATTTTCAAACCAACCTCCAAAAGCTGAAAAAGATGCAATGAACAAACAGCGTGTATCCAAAAAAACAGCTAAAGTTGTGCGAGATTTTGTGAATAATGCCAGAAAAGAAAAACCTCAACTATTCAAATTAAAAATTAGAAACAGGTCCTACCGGGAGTCGAACCCAGGTCGCTGGATTCAAAGTCCAGAGTGCTAACCACTACACCATAGAACCCATTTGTGATCATTAGAATATAAATAATGTATATTATAACTATGAATTAAATGTGAATTACTTTATAAAGACTATATATATTTCTACATTTTTTAAACAATTTCAAGTCTAAGCAAAAATGAGAGTGAAGAAATATAACATTAATAAATCCAATAGTTTCTTTCTAAGGAAACCATACATTTTATATGCTTCTAATATACTCCCCTCTATTTCAAAACTTAATTATTTTTATATAATAGCAAAATACCCCTATTATAATTATTAAATGCATTAGAAATACCCATATTTGGAAGAAAATGTCAAATATGTATTGGATTTCTACAAACCAAAAGTTTTGAAACATAACTAAATATTTAACTAACTAAAGTTTTGAAATGGAGAGACTACCTTTCAGAAACCATGATCTTGGGATGCTGTGAGGCTCATTCCTTTGCACGAGCTCGTCAACCGCGTGCATCTTAAGAACTACCACTGGCAAAAGATAAACAATGTGATCAAATTGAAATGTTGTCTTTTCTACTTTAAAAATCAGACCAGTGATTGTTTGTGATTGGTCGACCATATAACAAGTTTTACACTAACCCAGTATCAAAATGCTAATGATATTGGAATTTGTACAAAATAAACTGAACTAAATGCGTCATGATATGGGAGTCCATTAACTTTGAAGAGGCTACTACCTCAGTTTTCCCATGAACTATAGGATTTCCTAACAAGTAGCACTTAATCTGCAAAACAAACATGCAATGCTCAACATCATTCACATTTGTGTAAGGGTATAACTACTAAATTAGAAAATCATAAAACTAAGAACATTTATCCTCATGGTTCTAAATTGCATTATGCAACTACAATACATATTAGTAGTCTCTCCAACTGCATTATGAGTTAGTGATTGCAACATTTTTCTAGTAATATAAAAAATTGCACTAATCACAACCATAATTTAAAACCTATATTTTTATTTTTAAAATTAAAAAAATTGTAAGACTTTACTCAAAAATAGGAGCTCTTCCAGAAATTCTCAAAGGCAATAGATGTGCCTCACTTAGAACCTCACTAATTCCTTCATAGCCTATAAGCAAAGATTTAACCTTATTATTAGTACCTGCAGTTGACTGAACTTGATATCAAGATTGCCCAAGAGCCATACAATGTCATGCTGCATGTACTCAAATACCTTAGATTGCCCAAGAGCCATATAATGTCATGTTGCATGCACTCAAACACAAGGTATAAGGTACAAGGCGATCTAGAAGTAATCAATCCTTGAAGCTTCATGATAATGGGATGATCAATTTCTCCGAACCATTATCTCCTTTGCCATGAACCTTATATTAGAGTAATCCTAGCTTAGCTTCATTCAGTTGAATATGTGATGTAATGTAACTAACTGTGCTGAGGCAGCACAGCTAGCCTTATAAATACTCAGTTCTAAACTGAGATGTAACTAACTTTAATAACAAGAATTCCGAGATTCGGTTAGACCTAAGTTCTCTCTCCTCTCTCTCTCTTCTCTCTTTCTTCTACATTCTCGCACTTTCTGTTATGGTATCACGAGCTTGACACGATCCATATACATGGCTTCCGATGTTGATTCAATCAACATGGCTCACAACTTTCGATTCGAAGAATGTATTCAAGACATTCACGCAGAAAATGACACTCAAACTTGATGAAAACAACTTTCGATCAGGAAAGCAACAGATGTAAGGTATTATTCGCACGCACAACTTCATTGTCTACTGGTTAGTCCAGTTATTCCTTCGCGCTACCTAACTGAAGATGATCGCGCCAATGACTCAGAGAACCCTGCATATGTGAGGTCGGAGCAGCAAGACTCGTTTATCTTCACGTGGCTCCTCAAAGCTTTCAGATTCAGTGCTTCCTAATGTAATTCGATGTGTTCATTCTCATCAAATATGGAACGAAGTTCATAAGTACATTTTTTCGCACACCAATGCCAAGTCACGACAGTTGAGATCCAGTTCAAGTCTATCACAAAAGGTGAGAAATCTATTACTGAATATCTAGCTAGGATTCAACGCATTGTTGATATTCTTGATTCCTTTGATGGTCTGATCTCACATCGTGATCAACTTGAAGCTATTCTTGATGGATTACCTGATGATTATAATGCCCCCTAGCCTCAATTAAACAGTACCGTTCCAGTTTATGTCCAATAATTGAATTTGAGTCTGATGCTTTTTTTTCTCATGAAGCAAAACTGGACAAAGCAAAGAAGACTGAGCTTACCGAACCTCTTTCTATAAAGGTGGTAGATTTGGAGGTAGGTTCAAAGTGCAGGGTCAAATCTGTTTCAAGGCAGGTCATGATGCAAGTATTTGCTATCATAGACACTCCTCAACCTCAATGATGCCTCCAATGTTGAACAACTGTACACTCACCGGGTCAAAATTGTTCAACCAGACCTTCTTTAGTGCCACTATCTTTCCCTTCTCAATCTGCTTCGCCTTAAATACATTGGTATGTTTCCCCTGTCCAACCTGAAATACCACATAATCACTAACAACAATAATATTCAACACTTTAAGTTGCAAGTACTCGCACATATTGCACATCATAGAAATATAAGAATACTGACATAACTGAAATAGCAACAACAAAACAAAATTTAAAACACATTTAAGATTATTATTGAGTGCAGAACCTTTAAAATAGTGCTGTACCATGCACTTGTTTCTATCATTGGAAAACAACAATCATAAATGGCAGATTGGTGGTTTTCTATTGTTCGATTGTGTAAGATTTTTACACAGCAGTACATGGAAGTTATAAATCAAACATGACATTATAAAAAAATTAAGCTGCGATAACTAAAAATAGGTCCTACCGGGAGTCGAACCCAGGTCGCTGGATTCAAAGTCCAGAGTGCTAACCACTACACCATAGAACCCATTTGAGGTATAGCTAAATATAAACAGTAAAAAACAATAAACTGTTTACAAGAGTAGAAGTTAAATGGGTGTTAATTTATAAAAACTAAACATTTACTTTTTATAATGATTTCAAGTAAAAGCAAAAAATATGAGAGCAAAGAGATAGAACATTAATAAAAACTAATTGTTTCTTTCAAGGAAATCATACACTTGATATATGATTGTAATATAATTTCTCTATTTCAAAACTTTAGTAGTTGTTTAAGGTACTTTACACATAATTAAGGGGTTATTTAATTGATTTGTA